CCCCCCTCCTGTTCGTATCTCGGGCTGGCTGAGAAATTCTTGGGCCCGTGGCCGGAAACTGCGCAAAACACCATGCGACGTTAAAACATGAGCCTCGATTTAATTTATAGAAATATGGAGCGAGGTCCATGATGCTGCGTCGATCTGGCGGGTTTGGAACGCGTCCGTGCAATTATGTTTTGAAAGTCGTGATTTGAGCCCGGAATGAGGCAAAATCCAGACATTTTACGCATGGAAGCCGCTGTGAACATGCTTTCATCGTGAACAATACGGGTCTTGGAGGATTTTGTCTCGGAGACGCGATACAAAATAATTCACTTTGAATTTTTCTAGCCGGGAGACATCCGATAAGCCGTCGTCGCTGGCATCAGCCTAGTTCCTCTGTTTCCTTTTAATTTTTATGGTTTTAGAATTTGCGTATTTAGAAATCTTTATAGATAGAGAATCGGGTTTTCACCCTTAAAAATTTAAAGAGTAACACTGAACAAAAAATTAAAACGAGGTTGGAAAAGTCGTGATTTTTGGCGTTTGAAAGGTCTGTGCTGAGAAATGTCAAATCAATGGCCAGGATTAAGCAACAGAGACTCAATTCATCTCTTTTTATAATTTTTTATTTATTTGCCTATTTTTAGAGAAAAAGCTTGCTTATTAAAAGGACGTTTTTGGCTCGAATCTGTCGTTCGGTTTGTGGTACTTAATTTTATACAAAAATTGCAATGCCTCATTTTTACAGTATTCCAGGTGGGTTCCTTCTACTTAATTCTATACGAAGAAGCCTATAACACTTCAGATTTAACCATTATGTTTTCTTCTTTTGTCTACAGATAGAATTCTCGAGGCGCAACGGTATTATGAAGACGCTCTCTCGATATCGTTCTCTCATCTGGAGTCGCTGCTAGGGCTGGCGCGATGTCTTAGGTCGAGAGGTCAAAAATCAAGACTCCAACAAATACTCCTAAGGTAAGATCAACATTACCACCATCAATACTGCCGTGCTAAGGAAAAACGCCGTATGACCCTTTAGGCGTTGCCAAATTCCCTCAGATTAAACACACATGTTTGAGAAAACTTATGATTATTTTTCTTCCAATTTTTCAAATTATTTTGTTCGCAATTTTACCTAAAGTTCCTTCAGGTAAAGGTTCCTTCCTCCAGTTTCAAGGAAAAATATTCATAAATCTCCTTAAAAATACACATTTTATCGGAGGAAATTTGGCAATCTCGAATGTTCATACGGCGTTTTTCCTTATCACGGCAGAATAGATCACTAATCTTGGACATATTTATTCAATTTTCCTCGCTTTATCCGATTGTACTGAGTACTGAGTATTTTCGCGAGTTCAAACCGTGATGGCGTAAGCTTGTAATGTTCCCATAAATGCTGCTAATGAGGTGTCGCTCAGATTTGGGAGAAAAGTAAAAAACGAGGCCCAATTACGTTTCTCTGATCTGCAACCGTGTTGCTCACGTAGCCCTTGAAGCACCAATAAATATAATTTAAATAGAAACAAACACAATGTGGTAATAGAGCAAGGGAAAGGACGCGCGTAGATACCGGCGCAGAGATGCAACTATTCGTACTTTATGGATGTCCGTGTTGCATCTGCAAAATTGAAGGCGCGATGGTGCGAGGCGTGAAATCGCAACACTCCGTTCTGCTCTAGCCTACCAATGATTTGGGAGATTTGGGAGAAAAGTTAAAAAACGAGGCTCGAAGACGTCCCTCCTATCTCCAACTGCTTTGATACATGGAGCTCAGCTTCTTCCTCGTTGTTTAAACATGGCATTCTTTGACCAAATTATTTAAGAATATTAGAAGTTAATCGTAAAAAATTGTAATTTAAGTGCAATCAATTGCAATTTTATTTCAATATTTTTATTGCCCCGTAATATTTTGGTGGTGATGGGTCTCTAAAATATCCACGGTATAAGTCCGCAACCTCGTATCTCGGTTTGCGACGTCGCTGACTATCTGTCCTACTTTATTTTTAGAAGGAAAACCATTCAACAGTAATTCTTAAAAACTGCCGTGATTTTTCTTCTCTGTGTGAAGAAAATTCTGCAAAAATTTCAAGGAATGATGTCGATTCGATCTCCTTTAAAAGAATAATATAGAGGCGGAGATTTTCAGACACCGCTAACTAGATACGTGGTTGCGGACCCACGCCGCATAGTGAATCGAGTCAATCAGAGAGGTCGGACATGAAATTTTTGACAAAAACTGAAAATTTTGATCTTTATTTCGTCACATTTTAAAGTTCAAGGGGTGCTTCGAGAAGAAAATTTCACGAGGAAACCAATAGAGCTACTTTCAGAACCTCAGAGTTTTGTATAAACGGCGTTTTAAGTGTTTAAAGTTCTCAAATTTTGTCCGAATTCTCCTATTGACTCGATCCACAGTGCACCGTCTATATATTCTGCCGTACTAAGGAAGAACGCCGTATGAGCCTTCGGACGTTGCCAAGTTTCCTCCGGTGAAAACTGAATTTACTGGGAAAATTGCGAATATTATTTTCCAAAATTTGCGGACAATTTTGTACACAACTTAATCTAAACCATCTGAAAATGTCAAGGAAAAATATGCACGAATGCTGTCAAAAATACGTGTTTTATCGAGGGAAATTTGGCAACTCTCGAATGTTCATACGGCGTTCTTCCTTAGCAAGGCAGTATTGTCTCTGACCATAACCCTCCGATTCGTCCATCAAGTCATGAAATTTTCGCATCAAACCTCAAACTATATCACACCCGCAAATCGATTCACGACGGACACGCTAAGAGCGATTTGATGCAAGCGAACGTACACCGTTCAACAGTGAAGCACCGAGCCGCTGAGTCTGTTGACGGGAGACGGCGTTACAAGACTTCACACTCAGGCGAAACATGGGCGGAGGGCGACGACGAGGAAGGAACAAGAAAGTTCTCAAGGGCCGAACCTCGGAGGCGATGACGGAGGCGGCGGAGGCAGTGGCGACGGGAGTTATGATTCGCGCCGCTTCAAGTCATGACGACACATTAAACAGGAGTTTAATGCACTAATTAAATTCCGCCTCCCGCGAGTTTATCAATGTCGCATAACGACATGCACGCGCATATATCCGCCAGTATCTCCGGCCTTCTTCTCATACCGAGTTGTCGGATTTCTAGCCGGATCTTCCTCATAGGCGGATCGAAGGAGGAGGGTATTGGGGGTGAATAGAGTCCCTTTTTACTGAGCGTTAAGACAATGTGAATCCTTTTTTGATTGGTTACCGTATCCTAGGCCTCCTCAGTGTCATAAACGGGAATAAAGATTACATTTTCACCAATTGCAAAGATTATAATCTTGAATGGACTGAGGAATTAGGGGTTCGACAAGGAACAAACGGAATGAGAGAAGGAATGGAGAAAGGAATTTGAGAATGAGCCAATCAAAGATTAAGAAAAATGTTCAATTTGTGTAGTCTTTATTTCCGTTTGTGACTCCATGAGGGGGTGTTGTCTAAACTCTCAGTAGGGGTGAATACTGCCGTACTAAGGAAAAATGCCGTATGAACCTTCAGGCGTTACCAAATTTCCTTTGATAAAACACGGATACCCTAGTAAACTTGTGAATATTTTCCTTCCAACTTTTTAGATAATTTTGTTCGCAATTTCAGCAAAAGTTCTTGAAAATTCCAAGGAAAAATATTCCTAACAACAACCCTCAAAGATGGACATTTAATGGAAGGAAATTTGGCAACTCTCGAGTGTTCATACGGCGTTCTTCCTTAGCACGGCAGTATTGTGGGTGAGTGCTCCCCCTACCCTGTTTGCCCCAAAAACAGGAGAAAGGAAAAGAGATGGAAGGATGATTGAATGGAGAAAAGAAGCTGCAGGCTGATATTGAAATTGATAGACAAAGTTATAGACGAAGAAGACTTAGGGTGTACAGAGCGATCCTATTATAATGATGGACTAACTATCGGGTCCCCTCTGGGTTATCGTTAGTAAGTCTATTACCTAACTCCCCTGTCCATTAAAGCCACCCGCTTGGACCAATAGAGACCCTCCATATCCCTGTTGTCTTCTTTGTCTATAGCTTCGTCTACCAATTTCAACAATCAGCCCGCAGGAAGGACGCTAAGAGTTGGTAATTGAGGCACTGCGGACCGATTATTGAAATTTAAACCAGGCCGATAAGACATCGAATTGCGATATATTGCATGGTTGAGATAGAGCTATGTCTTGTCGTATCGGGCTGACATAGTTTCAATAATCGGGCCACTGGATGCGAAAAGGGCACTTCTCGATTGCAGTGTTTCAAAGTCTCCTCTAATATTTCATCCAATTTAAGGAAAGTGGATGCATCCATTTCACTCAAAATTCTACTGAATATTCCTTATGATGCTACAATTTTCTATGGAAAGAATTCCGGAAAAATCCCCCATTGAATTCTTTTCCAAGGGATTAATTGGCAGCAAAGATTCTGAAACACCGCAATCGGGAAGTACCCTTTCCGCATCCAATGCCTCAATTATCAATGACGAAATTTATTCAAGCTGTATATTAAGTGCAAACAAATTTTGAAATTTTTTTGGGAAAATCCCCCCCCCCCATCCCCCGACTGCCCTTCACGTTCAAAATTTCTAGATCTGTCTACGGACTTCTTGGTTTTTAAACCAGAATGAGCTGAATCAAGAGAAACATTCTTAAATTTGCCATTTAGAATATTTCCTATGAGATCAACCATAAAATATCTTGAAGCAAGCAAGTTTTTGCTCGGTATAAGTGACTGCCCTCTCGATGTAAGGATCTTATTCATTGCCGTTCCTTAAATGGCTCGTTTCCTTCGGATGCCTCATATGGTTTACATTGGACGTATTTACGCTTAACAGAACTATGTGCAAGTGGAAAGATGGGGTGTGTTCGTTAGTGATCGGGCCGTAAGAATGAATGGGAAATATAAAGCGCCAGTGACGTCAGCGTCGACGAAGCCGCCCGTCTCGGTCGCCCACGTCCGCATTAGCTCGTGAGCCTTGTGCACAAGGCGCTTGTCGCATGTCCACGGCTCACGCGCAGTTAGCGCTCAGTTTCTTCGGATTTAATAGAAAATCCCGCTTTTCCAATTTTTTTAAAAGGAAATATATCCGTTTTTACATTGTTTCTTATGTAGCTTCTACGAGCGCACCCCATCTTTCCACTTGCTTATAGTTCCTTTTAACACAAATACGTCTAATTGTGAGTGAGGGGGATTCAAGGAGACCCTTGACATAGTATCATTCAGAGGAAATTTTGCAAACCCGGAGAGAAAACGACCCGACAAGAGAAAAGTCAGGGAAAAATTGCGTTTTATCGCCAGAAGTGGCGATTTTTATTTTATTCATGTCATATTGGGCAAGCTTTCATGAAAGCCAGATCGTAAATAGGAATCCAGAAAACGTAATTTTGAGACAAAGTCGCTTAAACATTTAATTTGCCTTGCTTAAATTTCTAAATTCTAGTGAAAGTTCACACCCTGTAGAGATTCATGAATGCGAGCTTAATCAATCACACCTTATTCTTAAGGACACCAGTGGGCCGCTTATTGACATTTATAGACAAACAAAGCATAAACTGGGCACATAACAAGGGAAACTTGTCATAAGCAAGATGAAGCAATCTGTAGAAAAGGAGTAAGTAGAAATAAGAAGAAGAAGAGGAAGGAGAAGAGAGAGAGAGGAAGATGAAGAAGAAGAAAAAGAAGAAGAAGAATAAGAGGATGAAGAGGACGGTTCTAGTTTCCGGAACTGACATGAGACTGAGACGGATAGGCCGAAATCAGCGGAGAACACAGTAATACCACTAAACGTGCGTTCGAGTAACGTTTGGTGGTATTTTGCCCAGTTGAAGGCGCTTTCACGCTGGACGGTTGTAGTCCGCGTCATTGACATGAGACAGTGACGGACTACAGGTGGATAGCGGACTGATTGTTGAAACTGATCGACAAAGCGATATACAAA